TGATAAAAATTACAATCTTGCTACCCAGAGACAGTCTCTTTTAATATAATGGTGTATATTCTTCTAGATGTATTTATATTAAGTGGAATCAAATTGCATATAAAGCATTTTTGATATAATAATTTATTGTGAAATGACTTTCCATTTCAACGTGTATACTTGGACAACATTTTTATTGACTTCAACATAACAGAATTGTGCTTTTGGAGTCTCATATTTACTTGTCTCCCAATGTAAGCAATATTTCTCTGGATATCCTCATACTTTGTGTAGATTCTTAATTGTTTACTAGCGTAAGGCCCTACAAATAGTTTTGTGTCAAAGGGCACTGTTTCAAGGCTTTATGTATGTACTGTCAAATTGTCCTCCTGATAGGTAGGAACAATTTACTTTATCAACAGTGGAGTCCACCTCTGTGCATTGAGGTTCTTTTTATAATTTATTCTTATCCATTTTCTGTCCCCCCAAACAAATATGATTAATTGTGCCTAGCACAGAATCATGTTTTCATAGGTTCTTAGTGTATGCTATTTTAATAAGGGGGAAGAATCCAACAGTAAATAGTGAATTAATGCTTTCTCTCCCTGTCTCTTTCTTTAGATGGAGTCCATTGCCTTACCTGTGCAATGATGCTGCTTAACACTGATCTGCATGGCCATGTAAGTGGAGGTTTGTGAAGCTGTCTTACAGAAATCTAAAACGTCTTAGGCTTGTATTTGTTTCTGTGTCCATACACCTTTATTCTCTGCTTCCCTTTCTCTCATTCTGTACATGGTTCCCATGACAGGTAGATAAACATAAATCTTTTCAAAAAGAAGTAACATTAATGTTACATGCTAGCACAGAGCATAATTTTAAATATATACCATATTGTCATGGTGCCTGGAGTTGTTTTAGCAGTGATGTGTGCATTTTGTGTCTTGTTTCTCCACTAGATGGCAGACAGAGTTTTTATGTGCTTTCGTTTAGTTTTATTTTTGGTTAAGTATTATGGTTGATATACAATGATGGAAAGAGAATATAAATTAGATCTGAAAATGTCAATTGTCATTTCACTAAATACAGTAGTAAGTCTAAGAACTCATCCTTTTCTGTACTCCTCAGCTCACCTAGTCTTTTACTAGTTGAAATATCAAAATAACCTAGTTAATTGTTATTACTATTATGAGATGAACTTCTTGAATTTATAATTATACATAAGATTTCACCCTTCCTAGAAGTAGAATTTTAGCATTTACTTAAACTCTTTATATTAGAGAAAATGAGAATGTTTTAATTAAATATAAATCAATCTGTATTTACTTAGAACAAAAATTATTTNAAATGAGAATGTTTTAATTAAATATAAATCAATCTGTATTTACTTAGAACAAAAATTATTTCATAGTCCCAGGTTCATTGATTTTGAAGAGCAAATCAGGTTTCTGTGTAATTAAAGATTATATCATCCCTTGATGTGCTCTAATATAATTTACATTACCATTTTAAAAGTTACAGTAAAAGAACTAATATGTAGGTATTTGTTCTACTATTCCAAGAGGTCACGCTACTATTCCAAAAGGTCACATAATTCTGTTATTAGAAACTACTATGCTTCTCTTTTAGGAGAAGCAATATGAAGCTGTTTGGGGACATTAAGTTGAACTGGATATTAGAATAGAACTGGGGGAAAAAGGATTCCACCATCAGCAATGTGAGGAGATTTAGTGATAGAATCATAATTTTAACACTGTATTCACATATCTCAAAATAATCAACTAGGAGGTTCCTTCTGCAATTTATAAGAGGCAAATTTAGAATAACTTCGTGACTATTATGAGATGAACTTCTTGAATTTATAATTATACATAAGATTTCACCCTTCCTAGAAGTAGAATTTTAGCATTTACTTAAACTCTTTATATTAGAGAAAATGAGAATGTTTTAATTAAATATAAATCAATCTGTATTTACTTAGAACAAAAATTATTTAATAGTCCCAGGTTCATTGATTTTGAAGAGCAAATCAGGTTTCTGTGTAATTAAAGATTATATCATCCCTTGATGTGCTCTAATATAATTTACATTACCATTTTAAAAGTTACAGTAAAAGAACTAATATGTAGGTATTTGTTCTACTATTCCAAAAGGTCACATAATTCTGTTATTAGAAACTACTATGCTTCTCTTTTAGGAGAAGCAATATGAAGCTGTTTGGGGACATTAAGTTGAACTGGATATTAGAATAGAACTGGGGGAAAAAGGATTCCACCATCAGCAATGTGAGGAGATTTAGTGATAGAATCATAATTTTAACACTGTATTCACATATTTCAAAATAATCAACTAGGAGGTTCCTTCTGCAATTTATAAGAGGCAAATTTAGAATAACTTAGTAGCTTGTAGACGCATGTAGTGTGTGTCCAGAGATTATACAGACTAAGAATATAAATACTTTCAGGTCTATTCTTGGCTAATAGACCTTTAATATATCACGTGGAAATGAAGGTACAGCAGCAATTCCTACAGTATGAGTCTTGAAATAAGTACTGGAATCTAGTTTTCATCCAGCTTGTTAAGGGGATGACCAGTCCGTGGGTTGTCCTGACCTCTGTTTTCCTGTTAGCAGTCAAGCAAGTTTTCACTGCTTTCTTCTCTGCACATTTTGTGTAAACAGTTGCACTCTGCCCCCTTCTCTCCCTTCCATTCCCCAATTTCTTAACTAACTTGCCAAAAAAGATTATTTCAAGTGTGCTTGTGCACATATAAGTATATCATTGACTTGAGCCAGTGATTTCCAGTGTGATATACTCTTCACATAAGATATTTTAAGGTCCAATCAACATATGATAGTTGTGTATATAACATCTGTTGACTGCGAAAATGTGTAATGATGAAAAAAAAAAAAAAACAATCCATTAACAATTTACTTCCTATTTAAAGATTGAGTATCTCACAACTTCTGTAGAAGTTAGATTTTGGGGGGAGTTGTGTCTGTTAAATTCTAGATTGAAGTTTAAAAAGCTCTAATATAGCTTTAATAATACTTTAAAATAAACATGAATCTTATTAATCACAAAAATATGAAATATAGCAATGAGTAAAGGTGTGAGGTTTATTTTTTATTTAGATAAATAACTGAGCATGCTTGATATGCAGACAAGCCCACAGGTTCAAACCACAGGTCTAGGTCACTTGCTCTCACCCTGTCTTCAGACTTTTGAGGAGTTGTAAGGAGATTGGATGACACATCACACTTCTGTTGGGCAACTGGGATGGAAGAGATGGTTTATATAAAAGAATATTTTAATATTATCTTGAGTTAGGCCAATCATAGGTATGTTAATTAATGTTAATGGCTATAGTACCAAAATCACTGATGTAAGAGGGAGAAAATTGTGAATAACAATAAATCTCTCTATATCATCTTCAGGATCATGTTTTTGGTGATTAGTTGTCAGCTTTGTTTTTAAAAATATGTGCTATATACTTAAGTTGTCTATTATTTAAGTTTCGTATATTAGTTTTTAAGGCTTTATTTACAATGCACGCTGTTACAGCTCTGTTGAATGTGTAGTAGCTATCATAAGAACTAACCATATGAAAATGTATTTCTTATCTTCCTCCTCTGCATTCATTTTAAAACTAAATTTTTCTTCTAGGTGGTAAGTTTTTATGCATAATTCTGGATGTAGCTTCTCTTGCATCACGATTGCCTGATTTATTTTTATAGTGTCTGTTTGACTTATCAGCATGGCCCCTATGAAGTTGAGCTATTCAGAAGATAAAGTGAATTATTTCTCATTCTCTGTCCCTTTTCACCTTCTCCTTGACACCGTACCGCCTAGGTCATGGCCACTCATTACTTTGTCCAATGCCAGAATAATCCTCTTGGGGAGTGAACTAATAAACCACTTTCCTTTTCTTCTTTACCATTGTGTCATGACAGCAATACAACAGCATGACCTTCCTGAGAAGTGCTGAGACGAGCTTGTCCTCTTGCTTTCAGTGGGGGAGGGCTAACTTGGGAGATTAACTTCTCGTGGCTGTTCTTTGTGAATCTTTCCTTTAGTCTAAGCAATGATGCACTGAAAACGCATTGATGTGGCCCTTTGGCCTGCTAATTTTCTTACTAATAAAATGATGGAATGTATACTAATATAATAAATACTTCTAACATGTAACTCGGGGTTGGCATGCCCTTCTCCCTTTCTTTTCCTAATTTGTTCTTATTCAAAAAGCACTTTCATAGTGTGCTACTGCATCCACATTCTCTGCCATCTGGGTAAGGATCAGAATGAATGAGACTTGTTCATGGAAGTCAGATCTCATCTCTGATAGTATTGGCTGGGCTGACCGGCATTAGTCAGGTTTAACTGAAGACATGTTACCAGGTAACTGAGGTGCAGAGGTGGAAAAATGCTGGGAAAGTGCTTTAATTTCACATTGGATTATAGTTTAACATCACTAATTAGGCTATTAGGCACAATCTGAAGCATGTGCAATATTTTTGAGGAAAAATTTTTTGATGCCCCTTAGTACCTTTTTTAAAAAGTGTGGATGATTTATCATTATCTTAGCAATACAGTCTACTTTAATTTTTCTGCAAAGTAATTAATTCTCTTAGGTTAAGTAAATATTTTATAATTGCAGTCACATGGCTAATATTCTAAGTAATCCGTTTTATTTTCATCTACAAAGTATACTATGTATGCAAATTAAACTTCTGTACATACAGATAAATTTCGATGAAAATAAACTTTCAAGTTTATTTTTCTTTTCTTTTTCTTCGCCAGAACTAAGTTGTGTTGGGTATTGCTTGAACTATCAAGAGGGGAAAATTGAAAATCTTTTTTCGTTTGTTCGTTTAAACCTTGTATTTTATTGAAAATGGTATGAATAAAAGGATTTGACATGTTAGAATAAAATTTGGTTTATTATCAGTAACAGAATAAATTCAAACATACTCTTTTCTGGACTAATCTCCCAGTGTGTTCTGTCAGGATTCAGGCATCCTGGCAGGATTATTGCCCAGCCTGAAGACAGGTGGCAGGGGCGGCATGACAGCAGGCAGGAACTGCTCTCCACGGCCGGCATTCTGAGGTGGTAGGACATTTTAGGCAAGGAACTGAGTTGCAATGAAGAGTGAGATCAATAGGAGCACAGTCAGCTGGCCACTTTCACAATTAGAAAGCCACAAGAGAGACACAAGTCTGTGGGTCACCAAGGTCAGCCCATACTCAGAGGCACTAGCCAAGGCATTATTTTTAATCAAGGTTTTGTGACAAAATCTACGTATTAACATTGTGGCTTGAGGTTTCAGTAGCAATTGTATCCTGTGTTCTCTGCTTTTCCGTGCGGTGGTGTAAGAAGCAAGGGTGGGGCTGTGCTGGAGAGGAGCTCTGCCTTCGTCCTCAGGCTTTTCAGGGCAGCTGAGTACCACCCACTGGGGTTTTGAGGTTATGTATGAGGCTGGACCTTCCTGTTTTTTTTTTTTTGTTTTTGTTTTGTTTTGTTTTTTGCTGTTGGGTTATAAATTTGATACAGGGTAAAACCATGGCTAGAATGCCATACTGGTAGGGAGAAGAAAGAAAGAAAGGAATAAACTGTAGGTTTTGTAACACCCAAGCCCTCTTTGCTTGAAAGATGAGAAAACAGACAGAGGAGAATTAGTGAAAAT